CCCCCCCCCCCCCCCCCCAACAAACAAAACACCCTACACCCTGCTGCTTACTCATGGTAGCTTTTCTGTGGTATTATCTTAAGCTGAACCCATTGAGGAAAGACTCTCTACTTGTCGGCTTGATTTCATTACACAGTGTTCATTCAACTCATTTTCTAGCAGATCTATCAAGCCCCAAGAGCAGTACAGCTGCAATGTGACTCAGCTTCAAGACAGCAGACAGGCCTTGTCAGAGCTGGTTTGTAAACTAGTCTCCCGCACCTGAGTGGGTTGAGATGGTTCTGCAGAAGGTATGCTTATAGGCAGTAGGATAAACAAGATATGGAATCACATAGGTAGGTACAGTAAGTATACCAGGAATTTCTTCCCATGTGACAGATAAGCATGTCAACCAGTGAAGTGAGTATGACATCTCAGTCGAGGATGTCAGCAAGCTATTTGGCTTTGAAAATACATTCTTACTTGTAATGTGAATAAAGATTGAAATTCAGAAATATCAAGAAAAACAATAGAGCTTAAACAATATGGTACCTGCAACTGTGCAAAAGTAAACACAACAGTCTACCGGAAAAGAAACTGCAGTTTATGAAATACAAAAGGTCAGAATGTAAGGTCCACTGCTCTGCTAGGTGAGGACATGCATCCAGGGATTTTTAGTGGCTTCGGGGTGGGACGGGCGAGGGTTGCTCTTCACCCTCTGTACCCAGAGGCTGTTTGCTTCCTCACCAGAGGATGGCAGCACAGAGACCCTTTACTTCCGTAGTCAAATCCTGTAGCGAGAAGACCAAGGTACAGCACTTGCTAGTACACCAAAGCTAGAAGAAGGATTAATTTGGCATTCGTAGATGCAGGCCACAGATGTTAAGAAGAATACTGCTATCAACAGCCTGCTGTAGGTGAGGCACAGCTGCCAGAAGAATAGGCAAATAAACTTCATGGAGTGACCCGTTTGCTTGGTCTCTGTTCTCTTGAGCAGTGATTTTTGTTAGCATGACCATTATCCCCAGCACATAGCCAAAATCAGTCCACAGCCTTCCTTCACATCCTGAGCAATTCCTCTCAATGGAGGTGTAATTCTACTCTTTAGCACTAGGCACTGCAGACATCTGTTCCTAAGCCTGGTGTGACATGTAACAAAAAAAGGATAACATGACCCAAAGCCACAATGTCCCAGAGAACAATATGCTGTGTACTAGGGAATAGTCAGCAACCACTGCCCTTTGACCTGACACATGGAATCAATGGCATTCTATTGATTAATAATTTGGTAAAGAAATGATAACAAGTTAGCTTGCTGATAGTATGTGATTCTGTCATTAACAGCCAATCTAAGGAACTCTAGACAACTTGTCAGATGTAATCAGACTAATTTTATAAACCATGTCTTACAAAACTCACCTTACTAAAATGAACAGGAAGAACCGAAAGCAAGCCGAAGATGCCTTATCTTTCAGTTCTCAACATCAACTCCCATAAAAGGAGCTTGTTAACTCAAATGTGGATTGACCCAACCCCACCCCACCCCACAAGCAATGACTCTACATCTGACATATTCCACAACTCTTTTAACAAAGCAGCATTATTTTTGTGTTAATCAAAAGGGAAAAACTTCAGATCTGCTAGTAACCAAGGCAAATTCTCTTCACACTACCTTAACACTATGGCTACACTTTTCTTTAGCAGGCATGTGTCTAAGAGGAAATGTGATAAAACATGACCCAGTTCCCACTGAAGTCAAGGGAAAGTCTCCTGGTGACTTCAGTGGAGTGGTGTGCAACTCGGTCCTTTGCCTCCCCACTCAGACGTCACATAAGTATACCACTTTAGTAGTGGCTTTTTTTTTTTTTTTAAAAAAAAAAAGGAATTCCGTCTACAAATAAATTAATTTGGATCACCAGACATCACCTTCTGTGTATTATATGCCATAGAACAGGAAATATTTGCCATGAATAGTAAGTTAATTACTGAGTTTAAGTTGTGAAAGTAAGCTATATGCCCTATGAAGACACCAGCATAAACATTAAAATAACCTGATTTGGGGAAAGTCTGAGCAAGTCACCCCGGTGACTCCTTCAAGTCCAGATACCCAAGTATCATGGGTATAATGAGGTATTACTGACTTGCATCTTTTTTTCTAAAAGAACTTAAGTGTTCTGGCAGCAACAAGGAGTGGTGCTTACTCCCCAAAAGATCATAAGCAGATACAAATCTTGCTTCACACTTCACTTCTTCCTATTTCTAGAATATATGTTTCTGATTGGATCATCCCATGGATTTCGCTTGTTTGGTAGGGAGGTTGATCTCTAGGGAAATGTTTCATGACTTCTCTTCCAAAATAAAACTAGGAAAATGCACATTTCTGTAATGAAACCTAAGAGTAGAGCCAGTGTCCATTAACTGTGGAACTGTCTAAAGGTTCCAACTTTGACATTTCCCAAGTGCATGACCTGCAATGACAACTGCTAGGTGTTTCTGAAGTGTTACACAGCCTGTGTTGGTAAAAGCAGAGGTAGAAGGAGAAGATTCAACAAAGGTAATGAAATATAGGGAATTGCTGCTTTCTTCAAGCCCTTTCTTCTTTAGGATTTCTAAATAAGAAGAGACAGTTGGTGAATTCTCACTATGCACAAACATCTTTTCAACTCCAGAACAGAAGAAAAAGACATAATTCCCTTACGAGAAATAACTGAGAGCTTAATTCCAGCCTGGCAAAACCAAACACAATTCCATTGATTTCAATGGAGTTACAGATGGCCCAGTTAAGGTACAACAGGGTTGATAAGGGCCTTCTCCCATACTGTAGCACTACTTTGCCTAGAAACCTTTGCTTTCAAAGTAATTAACCATGTGTAAACAGCCTGCAACACTGAACTACGATTAATTAAATGAATAGGAGACAGATGTGTATGTTACAACTTATCTCAGGAGTAGACTTTAACAGCAAATATTGATCTATTTTCTGTTTAATATCAGGATCTTACGTCAGTATCACAGACGAAACTGAGGATTTGCAAAATAATATAAATTACTGTACAAGCGTTTCTCCCTCCCACAGGCATTAAATTGGAATCACGTATAAGCATAGTGAGAGTCTCAGGAAGAATCAGTTCTTCCTTGTAAGCCATCTCAGCACTACAGCAGGTGGGCATGGGCTTTCTTGTTAAAAGCAGAGAGACAGACAGACAGAAGAAAATTGCTTACTGTTTCGAGGCTTCTCCTCATCCATGCCTTCATCTTCGTTTTCTGGGTCAATATCTTCTGCTTGAGTTATCCAGTCTAAGTATCCCTTCAAATCCTCCTCTAGCTGTTGTTTTTCCCGTAACTTCTGGAAATCACCCCGAGCCTTAGCCTTCTCTCTTTCTTTGGAAAACTCCCTAGCAAGAGGGAGGGAGGGACAGGACATGGGCGGAGGGAAGGAAGAGATTGAAAAACAATGGGTTAGACTGATTTCCACTAGGAAGTCTCCACACACTGTGTAGCACACCCAGCTTTCTCTATTCTTTCAAGACAGACACACGAATGGAGTATCCTTGCTAGATACACATATAAAACAGCTGGAGTGTCCACATTTTTACCAATGCTTAGGAAAAGATGAATACCCTTTTTTAATCAAACATTTGATTGACAATTCAAATAAAACAAATATGTAACATTTGTGTACAATACCATACACTTTCTAATATTCTTTACCACTTGATATTCTCCAACAGTTATCCATAAATATCTATATGAATAATGGTCACTTTAATTCAACGATGAACTGTTTGACAATAATCTGACATCTGGAGAGTGAGATGGTGGCTCTAATTTTTAGCCAGGTTTCAATCTGTCTTTAAGATTATATGTGTAATCACAACTAAATTGGGTTAATTTTAAGTGTAATTAAAGGTACTCACAATTCTGTATACATTTAGTGATGAGAAATTTCACTCACAGCACTGGACAATATATTTAAAAACTCAGATCTCAATGTTTTACTGCAGACTTTCAATATCCAGGGCTGCTGACGTGAAACACATTTTTCAAATCTCAAGTTGGGTAGACAAACATGATAAATTATGGGTAGACAAAACTAATAGACTCTGACAGAAAGTGAACTAGGGTAGACATTTGATAGTTTTATGAAAGACCACTATTGGGCATATAGGCTTAAAACAGAGTGCATAGGAACAAGGATTTCATGTTGCTTAGTTATGAACCTGGGTGCTTGCTTTGTCTTCTTTTTGGCTGTGATGCTGTTTCTTTCTCTCTTTCAGAGACACCTATACTGCACTATTTTTTTTCTAGAAATGCTGACCTACCTTTATTTAGAGACTCTCCTACAGTTCCAAACCAGGTTTTAAGGCTTGTATTTTAAAAAGTAAGCTTAATGATTGTGAAATGTGCTGGACCAAGAGTACTTAAGCGTTAAGTCTTATATCTGCTGAAGCAGATCACTACATAAGGCACACACAGCAGATAGTATGGGCCACTGTTTCTAGAAATTAGATGTAAAGTCATCCTCTCCAATGCATTGTCCATTACCCTTGCTGATGACTGTCAGCAATAAGTGGATTTAAAAAACCCCCAAACTTCACCTAATACTTGTCTTAAGTTTGCTCCTGCAAAAACATATAGGAAACCTAGCACTAACTTGAGATGGATAATATTAGGATTATGAAAATCCTACCCAAAATGTTAATGAGTACCATGTGAACTGTCCTCAAGCAATTGAGATGGACATGAGTTTTTAACAGTGATGAAGTACTTCCCTCCTGTCCGGTCTAAAACACACTGAAAGATTTCCATTGACTTCACAGGCTTTGGTTCAGGCTTTCAATATTATGAGCTGTGCACAAAACCAGCACTGCAGCAGAATGAAAGTAGGATTATGCCTTTGTTTCAAGCCAAAGTATGTGACAAAGTATACCTGTGTGATCTTCACACCCCTGTCACATTGCTGAGGGTTCAGCCCATCCCATGGGACTGTGAAAATGAAGGTGGAAACGAGGAAGAGAATCATTGGCTTCTCAGGCCTGAGGGTAGATCACTGTTAACCTTGGGACCAAACTTAGCCCACAAGGCAGAAACAGCCTTTGCCAGCATGGCAAAAATGAAAAAATCAAATTTTCTCATGCTGGGAGCGATATTTCGCTATTTAAAATGTAAAACAAACAAACAGACAAAGCCCCAACAATAATAATAAAAATCGTACAAAGAATTTTAGAAAAATTCAATCAATACTAGTTATATTTTCTGCTTCAATAACATCTTTCCTCTGGGTCTGACATAGTGACTTATCCAAATTAATGAATTAACTCTCAAAAAAAAAAAAATCACTGAATGAAGCTGTGTATTATTAAGCCTGTTTGATAAATCAAACCCCAATATTTCGATTGTTTGCTCCTAAAATGGTATTTTAGAATCTAGAACAAGTGGGTCCAATTTTGAAAGTGACTGAGCCCTCAACTCCAAATAAGAACTATTTATATTTGCATGGATATAACTTTCAAGGGGTTGTTTTAGAAACCAAAGTGAAAAATATCATGAAACAACTCAGCTTACAGAAAATGAAATCCCTGCTGTGCACTGAAGTGGATCATTTATGTTGGATGCATCTAAGCTTGGGACTTTTCAGTCTCCACTTACCATCTCTCTCAAATGAGACTTAGGCTAGTGGGGAGCTGGCTAAATCCACAAGAGATTTTAGCATGATGTCTTTATACTAACCGTCTGCATAGGAGTGAATTTGTTACCCAGCTATTTTATGGCATGACTGAAAATACTGTGATTGCCTAGTCTAAATGATCTGCAATTGCATGTCTTTCTTTTGTACAATGCGTGATACTCCACATCTCAGACGTCTCCAAAGAAGGCAACTTATTTAAATTATCTTAATTTCTATGCTCTACTAACATTAAATCATTGAGAATAGGTGGCTCAGGAAATTGCTAATGCAATTCAAACCACCTCCCATGTGGAATGTCAGCCTGTACTCAGGCAAATGTAGATCACGATCAAAAATTACTATGAGTGGTCATTTACCATCCCATGTGAAATGAGTTGGTGTCATCAGTCCAGTTCCTATTGCAGGCAGGTGTGCACATTACCTCTGCCACCATCACAG